CCCCTCCCCCCGACCCCATTTTAAAGTGTACCAGTTTTGAAGTACAGCCGGTCATTTTACCTGTACTTTTTGTGGCTGTTGTTAGATTTCAGGACTCTGACAGATAACCAGTTTTTACATAACATATTATATGGTAGTTTAAGGGTTGCTTTTCTGTAGAAGATATCCAAAAAGTATGAATCTTTTTTACTGTTCTGCTAGTAATACTTCTGTGCTCATAAACACAGAGTTCATTTACTCGTAATTGGAGGGTTTTTCAAAATTATTGTGTCTATTTCTTGATTTTCCTACATCACAGGTTTCGAAGACTTCTTCCATCAGGCTAAAATCTCTCCAACCTTTGAGTTTATTTTAAAAACTCCAAGAAAATTGAGGACCCGCCCCCAGTGACTGAGGTCTCACCGCCCATTAAAAGACCAATAAAATATGTTAGAAGATTAAAACGCTAATGAGGGTTTAGCTGAACAATCAACTGCAGAGTGCAATCAGAGCTCAAACAAACAACATGAAACCCCAAATCTCAAAGCGTTCATGAGTCACATGCTAGCTGTGGGGGGAAAACAAAGCCGTGCAATCTTGCGCTGTTGACTACCTGAAGTTTAAAGCGTCCGACGGAGCCTATTGTTGTCGCCTGATTGCTCGCTGTGTGTTTTTCAGGAAGTCTTATCAGGCGGAGGAAAACTGAATGAGCACCTCGCACCGTAGCCCTGCAGGATCACATGCTGCTGGACAGAATTAAACGATTTCCATTATTACACCGAGAATTATTGCTCCCCTCTCGTAAGGCTCCAGTTCAGGCCAAGATTACTATTTCTGGCAATGTTTGCCTCAGGAAGGAACTTTCGCAGATTTAATGGGACCTGGGCCATTGTACACAGCCTTCTGTATGGCACACTGCCACCATTTCCACAGAGAGAAAAAAGAACTTAGGGATATGTTTAAAGTCAGTTCAAAACAAGCCCGTCCCGTTTGTGTGACCCTGAACACATCCCGTGTATTTCAGACGCTGAACTCTGTCCGAGGTTGAAATGAATGGTCTCTAATTTACACGCAGGAGGTTAAATGTCAAAGTGACAGCAACCATAGTCTGCTTTTTTTTTTCTTTTTTCTTTTTGAATGACTGACTGAATGAAACACGGATGATTGTTCGTCCAATTACGACTACTTTTGATCATATAGTAAACATGGTTATGGATATATGGATAACAGTATTGAGGATGGTTTTAACCTAGCAAAAGTAGAAGTGCCACAGCGCATTTAGAAGAGAACAAAAACAAAATCGTTCTTTAGGCACAAAGTGGCTTATTTCTATAACACATCATATCATTTTTACTCATGAATAAATCGTGGGTAAGCTCCGTTTTAATGCTTAAGTTATATCAGTGTGTTTTATTTCATGCCGATACAGGACATTAGATATGAGATAATTTAGCAGAAGGAATATAAAGTAAGATATAATAAAGAAAAAAACATACACACGCGCAAATGTACTTAGGCCCTTTTTCATTTCTGACTCCGAATAAGCAATTTATATAAATATCCATTGTTATTACTAATCATTAAATTCATTAATCATAAATATTTATGTCATTAAATGAAACCCTTTTACAATTTTACACGCTCTGTGATCAGCAGGTTATGGGTTAAATAGTGATTATTTACACAGATAACATGTGGAATATTAATGACATACGAAGGTATGTCGAGTAGCTCCCCCCAGTGACAGCAATGAAAAACCGCTCTCTCTGTTATTGCGCCGTGCTGATTTTTTTAAGGTGGTAAATTTGCTTATTCCAAGCATTCAAAAGAACAAAGTGCATTTTGTTTTTATTTATTTACATTTTTTAATGAAACAATAAATTGCACGTTCAAAAATAAAGCATTACTCTACACGTTAATCTCTTGTATATAAAGAAGCCGATTGTTTGAAAAGGAATGGAAAGAAGGATAAATTTATGTTAATCCCATCCCTTCGTCTCTTTACAGTAATTACAATATTCTTCTTTTTTTTTTCAATTAACCGGTTCATGTCCCATATACACATGTGTGTATACAATTTACCAACACCTTACTTATCTGTACATAGAATCATTCATACACACAGACACTTACAGACAGTACATCATGCATATTTATTCTGTATTAAATAAATAATCCTTCTTATACTGTAATATATATGTATTCATGCTTATATGCGTTTTCAGTTATGAATACATACACATGTACACAATCATTCACATATATCAGTGCACCACACATACCATTTGGTACACTGATGAAAACATTCCACACACGTTTTATATACTTTTGATT